TATCTATCTATCTATCTATCTATCTATCTATCTATCTATCTATCTATCATCTATCTCTACTGATCATCAATCAACTAATCTATATCTATCTATCATCTATCTCTGTACCAATCATCTATCAATCAATCATCTAATCTATATCTGTTTACCAATCATCTATCAATCAATCATCTAATCTATATCTATCTATCTTTCTATCTATCCATATATCTTTCAACCTCCCATTTCTCTCCCTAATAGCTGTCAGCCATTAAAAACAAAACAAGGCAATGTACAGGTAGACCTTAAGTGGGCCTACACCTCACAGCCATAATTCTTGATGGTAAAGTGGATTGGTCTCAGATGACTGACTTGATTTTCTGACTCTTTTTTTGCAGCAGGTATTAAAGGAATTGCAAGCCAGGAGACAAGAAAGAAATATGGGTAGTTCTTGATTTATGACCACAATCAAAGGAAAAATATTGGTTGCTGAGACAGTTGTTAAGTGAGTTTTGCTCCATTTTACAAGCTTTCTTGCCACAGTTGTTGAGTGAATCACTGTGGTTGTTAAGTTAGTAACACAGTTGTTAAGTGAATCCGGCTTTTCCATTGACTTTGCTTGTCAGAAGGTCGCAAAAGGGGATCACATGAACCCGGGACACCGCAACTATCATAAAGGTGAGCTAGTTGCCAAGTGTCTGGATTTTGATCATGTGACCATGGAGATGCTGCAACGGTCATAAGTGTGAACAATGGTCATAAGTCACTTTTTTCAGTGCTGTTGTAACTTCGAACAGTCACTAAATGAATGATTGTAAATTGAGGGCTACCTGTAGGCAGGAAGTCAAAGAGCCCTCTGCATTTATACGCCTGCCTATTAATTGCAATAGAATCTTAAATTACATTTTCCTCAAACTCTGCTCTTGATAAGCCTGAGAGGAATATCCATTCAAGTCGTCTCTCGCTTAAAATGACTGCTGTTGTTTTCTGATTCTTTGTAATGGCAGGCGGAAAACCTGGTTTTAAAAAATAAAATATTCCTCCCAATTCCTTTGCCGGCACATCAGAAAGCTGATTTTTTTTATTTTTTTTTCAACCCCAGAGCCTGCTGTTGCATTCAAAAACCGCCCTGAAAGAAAACTATGATTAACTTCAGGAGCCCTGCACTGGCGTGCCTGTATTTTTAACCCCTTTGGCAAAAAAAAAGGGATTAGCTTCCGCCTCCAGCAAGCTTATCGGGAATAGACAGCTTGGTAAAAGAGAATACATTTCGGCGTGGAGATAGCTAGCAAGACAACGTCTCTGGTACAATTTTGCAAAAATGCATCACTAAGGCTGGGGGGGGGGGGGGGGACAGACCGTGGTTATGCCTAAGGGCAAAATTGAGATCTTTTCTATTAGAGTGTCACCTAGCTCTTACCAAGAGGTGTTCTGCAGGTAACGTGTTCCAGGTTTTTTAATATCTGTAATAGGTTTTTTTAAAACCTACAGGCAGCCCTCAACTTGTGACCACAACTGAGCCCAATATTTTATGTGGCTAAGTGAGAAATTTGTTAAGTGAGGTCTGCCCCATTTTACGACTTTTCTTGTCACGTTTTAATTTTAGTTTAAAGTTCAATGAAAAGAATGACTAAGGGGTGACCTGATAGAAGTCTTCTGATATCTCAGGGGCTGCCCCAAAGAAGAGGGAGTCAAGCTATTCCCCAAAGCACCTGAAGGCAGGACAAGAAGCGATGGGTGGAAACTCATCAAGGAGAGAAGCAACCTAGAACTAAGGAGGACTTTCCTGGCATTTCCTGGAACAATTAATCAGTGGAACAACTTGCCTCCAGAAGCTGTGAATGTTCCAGCACTGGAGGCTTTTAAGAAGAGATTGGGAAACATTTGTCGGAAGTGGTATAGGGTTTCCTGCCTAAGCAGAGGGCTGGACTAGATCAGGGGTCACCAATCTTTCGGAACTTAGGGACCATTAAATTCATAATTTTAAATCCCGTGGACCACTAATATGATCTGCCTAATGACCGGCTGGGTGGGCGTGGCTAGAGATGGTCATGTGACTGGGTGGGCATGGCCAACTCAATGTCACCGGCCTCTTGCTCACCCTTCCCTTCCCAGCCGCTCCTCGCCTGCCCACTCGGGACCCCCTTAGGGTCCCAACAGGAAGCAGCCATCACGAGAAAGAGTGGGCAAAAGAGCTGGCTCCGTTCAAATTGGATCTGACGGAGAAGGAGACTCAGCAGAAGCACCTCACTGAGGACTAGGAGCAGCACAGGCTTTCCAAGCAGAGGGAAGATCTGCAGGAGTGCAAGGCCTGGTTCACAGCGGGCTGAGAGGGTCAGCCAGTTCCAGGCCATGATGCAGTCCCACTGGAACGAGGCCCTCCAAGCTCTTCGCCACCAGTTGGTGACCACTGGAACTAGAAGAACTTCCAGGGTCCCTTCCAACTCTGTTATTCTGTTTTTTTGTTAAGTGAATCACTGCAATTGTTAAATTAATCACATGGTTGTTAAGTGAATCTGGTTTTCCCCATTGCTTGCCAGAAGGTTGCAAAAGGAGATCACGTGACCCTGGGACCCTGCCAACTGTCGTAAAAGTGAGTCAGTTGTCAAGCCTCCGAATGTAAATCACGCGACCACGGGGATGCCACAACAGTTGTAAGGGTGAAAAAAAGATCATACGTCACTCTTTCCAGTGCCATTGTTACGTCGAGCAGACACTACGCGAACTTTTTATAAGTCAAGGACGACTGTACTGAGCAGTGCCATTGTCTGGAAGGAGACGGAAAGAATTGGGGATCAGCTATATTGGGATTAATACTTACTTAAGAGGGAAGAAATGGTGGAGGAAGCAAAAGCTGTAAGAACCACGGGAAGAGAGTGACTCTTATTATCTTAGGCCTGCAGGCAGTGAGAGCTGGAAAACAGCCAATTAGTGTTCTACATTCAACAGAGCTAAGTTCAAACATCTAACGGTGGAAACAAGAAGAAGAATTCCACCGATAAAAATCCTGAGGGGGGGGACAAACACAGTGCAAGGGTGGGTTGAGAAATTCTGGGGGGGGGGGGGGGGGGGGGGAGGGAAATAAGATAGCTCAGTCCCAAACACAAAACATACCAAAGAGAGGGGAAGAAAACAACAACAACAAGAGGAGAATATTGATAGGATCAACAAAGAGCTCTCGGAGAAATTGAGAAACGAAAAGGACAAGGGGTTCTTGTTGTTGTTTTTTAGAAAAGAAAAGAAGGGTGTGTTTTTTGAAAAAAGCAGGGTATGTGAAGATGGGAGCAAGAAAGTTAATGCTCGAAATGATCTGGAGCAATAAATACTAAAAATAATAAATAAAGTGGGGTTTTCGCTATTCGCAGAACAGTAGGAAAGCACTGATGATATCACCTAAGAAAGGAAGAAAGGTTTGCAGGAAAACCACCAAGCTTAGAGAGCACCAAGGACTCCAAAGTCTTCCTGCTCCTCCTCCTCCTCTCTGCAATCCCCCACTCCCTGCTAGTACTGATGATGTTACCTAGTTGGGTCACGCCGGCAATCAGAAGAAGTAGCCTGCAGTACTGCACTCTAACCACTGTGCCTCCAAGGCTCATAATACTCCTTCCTCCTCCTATTTTCCCTTATAACAACCTCGTGAAGTGAGTTAGGTTGAGAGGGAGGGAGTGGCCCGAAGACACCCAGCCGACTTTCATGCCTAGGGCGGGACTAGAACTCACCATCTCCTGATGACTGGCCCAAAGTCACCCAGCTGCTGCTCTTGTGGGACTAGAACTCACAGCCTCCTGGTTTCTAAGCCAGTGCCTTAACCACTACCCCAAACTGACTGCGATTTCACCATCATGCTGATTTGCAAAATTCCATTATGAAATTGAAATCTGGATTGCTGCCTGTCTAGGATGTTATGGGCCGGGAGTTGATCTGGAAGGTCAACTCTATGATTCCTCATCTGGCACTGGTATGCTTTGAGAACATCTGACATTCCCAGAGAGATGAAGCCCTCACTGAAGGTGTCCAGGGACTTGGACTGAACCTTCTCGAGGCATGAAAAGAAAACTGCCATGCACAAGGCAGCTGTGACTGCAGCTGGCAAGTCGTCAGCTGCCTTAGTTGCCTTGCCAAGTATCGAAAGCACAACTGGCTGCCAAACGCACATCTGGTGCCAGCAGCCTCTCTCACCCCACCCATAAAGCAAAATCCAAATGCCAATAACCATGTACGGGAACTGATCACAAATACCGACTGCTCTTAGAGGTATTTTCCATA